CTGCCAGTTCGAGAATTAATTTCGTGTCATTCATCAATAACACCGCGCGGTAAATCGAAGCTCAAAGAGGTAAATCCCGTTTCATTTTGTGCCCTCAATACTGCTAAGAAATTATGATTATTAAAATTCATCCTTTTTTTGTCAGTAATTCTACAAAGATTTGAATGAAAATGAAAAGAAAAATCGCGTTTAGTTACCGAAAAAGTCAAGATTTTTTTTTTAATGTGGTACTCAGTTGCACTTCGAATTTCTATTTTCCTTATCCACTCCATTATTTACCGTAATGAACCCGTTAAAACAATGAAAGTACGAAGATTGCTGCCTACCCGTAAATTTGATATTTGAAATCAATACTTTGGCTAATTGATTCAGTTGAGCTTACAAAATACCATTTCAAGATCATGAAACTCCTAGTCAGGATCGTTTTGCCTCATGTTACTTCGAATCAGTTTTATAAATTGAAGTGGAAAAAATATTACATCTGTCGAACAGCATATCTTCGCTTTCTTAACAATTTCCACAACATGTGAAAATGATAATTACAATTTTCAACATTTAAATACAGCTCACATACAACTTTTATTGATTCTTTTATTAAAAAATAGTAATTTTCAACAAATTACAATAAATTTTTGTCAAATTTTGTCAGATTTCAGATTATTTTCTTAATCAGATTTTTAAAAATTTTTCATATCTCCTTGTGTTGTTTCAAAATTAATGCACCGAGATTATGGTGTTACAAGGTGCCTGTATGCCCGCAATCAGTTTGTAGGTAGCTATTGGCACTGACATGGAAGAAGTTGACAGTTACGTCTGCTTGCCCAGCTCTGTTCTGCAACACCTATGGCAGCGCCAACTTGTGGACTGACGATCCAGGAAGGAATATAAACGAACTTAACAGCCTTCCTGCTGTAGAATACTCATACCCGTGATTACTGTATGTAAATCTCGCCCTTACCTCGGTGTTTGCAGGCAATTACTAAAACTCGGCTCGGCTCAAATCTGTCGCGTAGCATGCACCCTCATTGAAACCATTATATTTTCCGCCCCAATGCCTCCACAGCTGGCAGTCCATGGAGAATGCGCGAAAATATTGTGGTTTTCTTGAAGTAACGAGTTGGTAGATAATTCGCGTCGAGCCTGTTTTGACATCGATGATGGCCAGGACGCTTCTGGTTTATTCCGGTTGCAGTTTTGCTGGATGGGTTGTCGGGGTTGGGGTTGTTGCTGTGGGTAACTTTGTT